CCAATTACAATTCAGTTGGATCGGTTTTATAATTCGGTTTTCAAAAACCGTAACATTTTAAAACGCCATATAATTATAATATTACCAAATTTTACAGAAAAAGCAAAAACAAATTATTTAGTTGTGATTTAAAATTTATAAACAATCACTAAGAATGTATATTATAGATAAAAAAAACTTTTGAGAGAAAATGCATATATATATATATATATATATATATATATATATATATATATATATATTTTGTATTAGATGAAACCTTTTGAGCCTATCTGAAAAAAAAATATTACAAAATTAATAAATAATTATAGATATATTAAAATAAATGAATAATAAATTGTTATTCAGTTTTTTTGGACTATTCGGTTCGTATTTTATAAACCAAAACCAATCCAAAATTCAAAATAATAATTTGGTTTTGTTGAAAACAAATCCCAAAATTCAAATATCCGAACCAAATTTTCTAATTCGGTTTTATCCATATATTGAACAATCCTATGTATTTTGCCCAAAATATTAATGTTGCAAGTAAAGAATAACAACAAAATTAAAATGCCCCCATGCAGGATCGAACTACAGACCTCCAGTTTACAAGACTGGCGCTCTACCACTGAGCTATAGGGGCTTTATGTGCTATTATTTAGTACAGGTTGTCATTATTGCAAAATTCATGTATGGGTCGTTAAACCCTCTTTCAATCATCGTCTTGTTGAAAGTTTGAAACGTTTCCGGATATGGAGGTTTTGAAGATGGCGAATTCTAGGGTTTCTCTGCTTCGCCATAGTTTGAACTCCTTTTTTCCACCTTCTGCTACCTCTACATTTTCTCTCTCTATCTTACCTACCCGTAGATTCATCGTCTCCGCTTCCATTTCTTCAAAAGAAGCATTTGTTGATTCGCTGTCATCGCAACAAGCTGCAACTCCGTTCGCCGATTCTGAAAACCCTAAATTGAGCAATCGATGGAAACCAATGTGTTTGTATTACACCCAAGACAAATGCACAATGGTAAGTTTCTCAATTCGTGTATTTCATCCCTACGATCTATATATTTGTTCAGATTTTCATATTGTGTGTTTACGACATTACAAAATTGATGTAGAATCTGAAAAAAACACATTTTGATTCCTGTTCAATTTTTCCCCCTGTGCAACAGATGCAAGATTCGAGTCACTTACAGAAATTCAATCATAGTTTCTATTTGGAAAATGAACTAAACACCACTGAGTACAAGAACAAGCACTCTGAGCATTTTGATTTCTTCCTTGTGCTTGATTTAGAGGGAAAAGTTGAGATTCTTGAGTTTCCTGTTCTAATGATTGATGCCAAAACCATGAATGTCGTAGCATTCTTTCACAGGTTTTTCATTGATTTTTTAGGCTTCATATACCCAAATTCTTTCATTATTGATTTATTCCTGTAAATATATCTCATTTCTCTAAACTTCTGTTCCAGATTTGTCAGGCCTTCAGAAATGAGTGAAGAAAGAATCAACGAATACATTGAAGGAAAGTATGGAAAACTAGGAGTTGACAGGTATGCTGATTGATATTCTGTTTGACTATGAATGATTCTTCGATTATAATATTCATGGTAAAATCTTGCTAAATTGTTTTCTATTTAACATCTTTGCAAATAAACTCATCTGTTTACAGGGTTTGGCATGATACAGCTATTCCATTTACAGACGTTATAGAACAATTTGAAGAATGGATGACAAAACATAACTTGTGCTCCAATGATCTTTGTGGGCCCCTTCCTCGAGCTGCTTTTGTAACATGGTAAAAATTCCTAATTCTTTACTGTCTCTTGTCTAGACAAAAATATACTGTCTACAAAATTGGAATTTGGTATGCTAACTTGATCATATAATTATGTGTAAAAGTGGGAATTGGGACATAAAGACTAAAATACCCCAACAATGCAAAGTGTCGAAAATGAAGCTACCTTCATACTTCATGGAATGGATCAACTTGAAGGACATATATCTCAACTTTTATAAGAGGAGGGTGAGTATGAACTATGAAGCACGTGTTTTAAAATTAAAATCCGATTTTATCTTTCTTCGGTATAAAAATAGATTTTTTTTGAACGATTTTAGGCGGCTGGAATGCGTACAATGATGAACGAGTTGAACATATCGTTGTTAGGGAGTCACCATCTTGGCATTGATGACTCGAAGAACATAGCAAGAGTGTTGCAACGCATGCTTACGGATGGTGCAATTTTGAAAATCACTGCAAAGAGAAATCCACAAGTTCATGAAAAAGTTGAATTCCTCTTTGAAAATCGTATCAAATAAGTGTCCTGTTTCGTCCATTTTGTCACGCATGACATGATATGACATACCATAATGTGTTGTATTGTTTGTCATAATTCATTAGACTGAGATTGATGTGATGTGATTTATTGATGTCATAGCCAAAAGGTGAAACGGAGTGAGATAGACTCGCGCTTAATCTATCGTTTGTGTAAACGATCATCAACATCGAAAATAGTCCTAGAAAGTTTGTCCTCATTACTGGAGTATTGTTTGTTAGATAGTTAGACAATGATTTTATTCGAAAGTAAGGAAGCGTGAGACAACATTAGTGGTCTAGTGTTTTGAAGTGATTGGTATAAATATTTTCATTTATTCCATGTTGGTTGTATTAGTCTAATTGTACTTTAAAGAAAATCAATGACAACTTAAGAGTTGATGACATGATACCCTATAAAGTTTTAATCTAAAGTCAGGTTGTAGAACTCGTTATTCGGTACCTATTCGGTCGACTATTGAGTAGCGAGTACTGGGGGAGTACTCGGATTTGATAATTCATGTAGAAATATTTTTAGGGAAATTATATATATCAAAATCATAAGTTGATTGAAATATATGACATGATACCCCAATCAGTCATCGGACTGGAATACCCCTGGGTCCACAGCTATTGGGCTGGATTACCCTCACTTGGCCCAATCAGTCATCGGACTAGAATGCTAATATACAAAAGGTTCACTCAGTAATCGGACTGGAATACCAGTATACAACGAGCCCACTCAATCATCGAACTGGAATACACTCGGGTCCACAGCCTTCGGGCTGGATTACCCCTACATGGCCAAATCAGTCATCAGATTGGAATGCCAATATACAACAAGTTCAGGCATCCTCAAGATGGAATACCTTGGGGCTCAATCAACCATCGGGTTAGAATGTTCGCGGTCTGTTGGCTCACACACATAACAGTAAAGTCTCAACCACCAACAATAATATGTGCACATATAACAGATAAACAAATAATCGGCCAATAAACTATCAGACAGATCTACAGATCACTACTGTATACTCACATCCTATATATCAGGACTCAGATCTAACAGATCACTACAGTATAACGACATTTTATCACAGAGCAGAATATCAAATCCAGTGGGCCGGACTTGGTGCCTTCGACCCATAGGTATAGTGAGGAAACTCACCTCTCGATCTGATCAATAATAAGGCCATGACTCCAATCTCAGCTCTAACCGACACCTATCCATCCAAAAGACCAATTCTCAAACACCATCCAAAATACCCAAAATACCCTTGGTCAAACTTGGTCAAAGTCAACTGAGTCAATCCATCCGAGTCAACACAGAATGTGTACGTGGGGCGTACTCCAAAGGTACGCCGGGCATACTCGATCATTGACCACCATTGGGGAGGTTGACCACATACGAGCTGCGTACTCAGATTACACAGGGGGTACGCCAAATCTTCCTAAAAGCATATTAAGAGCTTAATGACTTACGCACTTACATCCAACTTCCAAATCTAAGGCCAAATCATCCTTAAGAGTCATAAAGTTTCCAACTTTATGAATTTGCATGTCCATTAAGTGCTTAACTCAACATCTTAATAGATTAAGACCTTCTAAAGAATGCATGGAGCAAAACCAACCATTAAGACCCCATTTTTATGACTCAAGACTCTTCCTAAGGTCTGAAAGGACGGCTTAATGGGTCAAGAACATGTCATGTTCAAGAATCACCATTTTGGGACAAAAGGTGACTTAAAAGAATGAAATGTCTAGATCTACAAGATGGAATGGTAAAGTTGCAAGCTTTATACCTCATGGAGGTTGCAAACAAGGAGAAAACTTCATATCCAAAGTGCTTCCCAAACTCCAAGCTCTCCACACCACTCTCCTCTTCTTCAAGTACACCTCTAATCACTCCAAAATGCTCTCTTTCTCTTAGGGTTTGCTTTTTTTTTGGGGGGGGGGGGGGGATCCATTTCACATAAGGAGGCTAAATAAGAATGAGATGTGAGGTTATAAAAAGGTTTATATGAGCCAAACTGTAACGACCCAAATTTTTAGAAGAAATTTTTCATTTTTAATTAATCAAACACATTTCCATAAACCATGAAATCCCAAAACAATTGTTTTCAATTCCACATTCATTACAACTTTATTTAAAAACGTCAGAGTGTCCCATAAAATGTCGGTGAGAGAGTGCACGCCGTGCCATCAAGCCTTGACCTTGCCCTTGGGCTCAGATGTACCTGAAACAAATCCACAAACTGAAAGCTTATGCTTAGTGAGTCCCCCCAGAGCATACCCCACACACAAGCCACATAACACATATCATATTAGCTATGAAAGCTACATATACCACATAAGCCATGCATACATAAACCTGTAAGGATGTCGTGGGCTCCCCCCAGGGTCTTATACCTTCGTGTCATGGGATACCCCACATGGTCTTTACCTAGGAATGCCATGGGCTCCCCTACATGGTCTTATATGCAACTGCCACGGGCTCCCCCCGGGGTCTTCCATGCAATAACATACAAAATCAACTAGCATATCATATATCACAGAAGTATCTATCATACTACATAACACATATATAAACATATAAGGATGCCGTGGGATCCCCCCAATGTCTTATACCATCGTGTCATGGGCTACCCCACATGGTCTTTCCTTAGGAATGCCATGGGCTACCCCTCATGGTCTTATATCCAACTGCCACGAGCTCCACCCGGGGTCTTCCATGCAATAACATACCATCACTAGCATACTGCTTAACACAAAGCTAATTATCATACCACATATCTCTACAAACGCTAGTGTACCACATAACATAAAATGGGTCGGCCTTGGTGCCTTAGACTCATTGGTATGGTGAGAAGACTCACCTCTGTTCGAAGAATCCGAAAGCTGCTCTCCTAACTGTCCGTAACCTCCCGTGCTGAACAACGACAACATTACCCAAGGTTAGGACTTCACATAATCAAATGGAAAACCCACACCTCAAGTCCTTTCATACAGGCCCAAATAGTCTTCCTTTGATATTGGGCCCAAAGTCCATGTCCCAAATCATTAATGGGCCTCATGGCCCAATAAATCCCAATCATAACATACATGGCCCAAAACAGATAAACTGGCCCACCAACCCCAAAATACGACCAGGCCCAATAGTTCAAAGGCCCAAAACGAATCCAAGTCCATTTGCTGTGCGTACGCTTAGCGTACCACCCTGGTACGCGCAGCGTACTGAGTCCCTGTCCTTATGCGCTGCGTACGCTAGGTTACGCCCAGCGTACTAACAGATTAAGCACTTTCTCCATTAAGTGCTTAATACTCGATTTTTCTCACGTCAAATAGTCAGATCTAAGCTTATTAAGACGACCTAGGGCATAAAGTTGGCAACTTTATGCCTTTGCATGTCTCATATGTTCCCAACAATCCCATTAGGACCTTTTTAAGGGTCTTAATCCATGCATGAGGTTAAAACACCCATCAAGACTTCATTTTTATGTTATGAATGGACCAAAGGACCTCAGATCTAACATTTCCAACCTCTGGAGTTTCTCAACTCACAAGAGGAGATCCAAAACCAACAAAGGGGACAAAACTAGAAAACCCTAACTAGATCTAAGGAATAAGATGGAAAGATCAAAGCTTTATATCTCTAGAAGTTCCTCAAGGTGAACTAGGTGCGGATTCTTGAAGCCCAATGTCACTCCAAGCTTGCTTGACAATTTCTCCTTCTTGAATGGACACTAAAATGGCCACAAATGCACTCTCTAATCTCAAAAATGATCTCACAAGCTCTCTCTGTAGTAAAAGGGCGAAATAAGGCTATGGAGGCTGTCCAGGGTTAGGTCCAAGAGGCTTAAGGACGTTTAAATAGGCCTTAACTCCGGAAATTAAGGTTTTGGTCATCCGTCACGTATGCCCAACGTACTCCCGGTACGCCCATTGTACGTGCTGCCCCTCCGCGATCCTCCTTGCAAAGTATGCTAAGCGTACCCATAAGTACGCCAGCGTACTTAAGGGACTTATTATGCTATATTTAAAATTCTTCAAGGGCTTCAAGGTTATACCTGATTTGGAGTGTTACACAAACCCTAAAAATTAGGGTTTGCATGAACCTCACGTATGCCCTGCGTACAAGGTATACACCCAGTGTACTAAGGTGTGCCCTATTACGCTTAGCGTATACACGTACACTCAACATACTCCCAAAGTCTGATTTTACCAAAATACCACAATGGCCCTTTTACACTCTTTATTTTATTTAGGGACCAATATGCAATAAATCTCAATATAAGGGTCAACGATGAAAGTACCTCAAAACAATATGTTACACAGTGCTTTAGACGAATTGTCTGGTGTAAATGAAGTTTATGAAGAAGTGCAAGGTGGTATGGATGTTGGCATTGACATGGATGATTTGTAAGGTGATGTGGAGGATTTGAAAGCTGATAGGGGTGATTTGCAAGGAGATATGGAGGATTTGCAAGGTGCTAGGGATGATTTGCAAGGTGATCAAGACGGTGGCATTGACATGGAAGTTGACACTGAATTTGATGAGTGCATTCCTATCAACAAGACAAAAAATGATGACTGTCTGAGTAGGTTGTGCCCAAAGGAGCAAATCACCTCCACGGACCACCTTGTGAGGATCCATATGGTCATTTACATGAGGATGAGGTAATATCTAATGACCAAGATATTTACAATGATAATGATTATTGGAAAAAGCAAAACCCTGTATTAGGTATGATATTTGTGAGTCCTAAACAACTGAAACATATGATATGTAACTATGTTGTTACAAATGGTTAGCAGGTACGCTACAAAAAATGATAGCAGGAGACTTTTAGTTAAATGTTATTCTGAGGAGTGCAAGTTTAGAATGTGGGCTTCTTAGATGAGTGAGCAAAATTCATTCCAGATTAAGAATCTCATAAACGAGCATACTGTGCAAGAAACTTTAAATTAGGTTCAATTGTCAACTATTCATGGATAGGTAGCTATTACACCACACAATTCTTACAGAAACAAAAAGTTAGTGTGAGGCTACTTAGGGATGAGGTTAAAGAGAAATTTGGTATAGATGTGAGTATGGGAAGTATGCAATTGAACTGATTGAACACTAATGGATCACTATGCAAAGCTATGGTCATATGGTGAGGAGATAAGAAGATCAAATCCATGATCAACAGTCAAAATTGATGTCAATTGTATGCCAGATGGAAAGAATTATTTTAGCAAGTTTTACATTTGTCTTGATGGACTAAATCAAGGGTGGAGAGGGAGATGTAGAAGAGTAATAAATTTGGATGGGTGTTTCTT